AGACGTGGATATAAATCTGAACAATGAATGCCGAAGCAATGTAAGTTGACCTTTAGACATCATTTTTACTTAATTAATATTCAAAAGCGGCCCACGAAAGTGCATGTGCAAATTTATGTAAATGACTATTTTTACAAACGCGATTCTGTGAAGCACTATGAAAAAAAGAGTACTATGAACAGAATTTGATATAGTACCGACTTTTGTTCTTCTATGAAAATTAACACTCATTATTTTGAAGAAATACAGCGTTTTCATTGGATGACAAATAAAGTTGGACACTTAAACACTTTCACGTGACGTCCTATTGAGTTTTATACAAACTTAGTGTCCAACTTTATTTGTCATCCAATGAAAACGCTGTATTTTTTTAAATTACTGTGCGTTAATTTTCATAGAAGAACACAAGTCGATACTATATCGAATTCCATTCATAGTCGAGAACTTCATGTATATGCAAAGTGACTTAATAAAGTGAGTGATAATGAGGCCAAATAAAGCTTGAAACTAAATATGTTAGTGTTCATTCGTATCTGTTCTACAGAAATTAGAAATAGCCTCCTGTCGCAATCGCTCCCGTCGAAGTTTCTAATCTCTGTAGAACAGCACGGATGAACACTAACATATGTATAGCGTTAAAGCTCTTTAATGTCAGCGTTAAGGGCCCGTCACACCATGACGTTCTGGTCACCGCTTTCTTAACGTTTAATCTTTTAGCTTTCTAGAATGAGGTTGACACATCTGGCGCGTGATTATTGTGTGTCTTTCGCATAACTAGCGTGTGTCTAACGTACGAGAAGCGTGAAACATTGACAAGTAAGATACCACTGAAACCCATTAGCGTGTGCTAACGTGCCACTGGCACGGGACGAAGTATTTGTCAACGCCAGACGAGCGTTGTTAGGGTGTGACTAGCGTCTTTCTGGCGTGTTATTTTTTACGTCCGGACGGGTTCATAACGCTGAAAATTCCATAGTGAATTCAGTTGTTCTTGTAAATTTGAATAATCAGCATCATGACACCAAGACAAACAGGTGGTATGAGGGTTTCTCCTACTAGCTACTGCTAAACCCCTGACATTTTTTATATTCATGATTTATTCCAACACTGTAGTCGTCTTCGTCTGGGTCTTTTTCTCTGCGGGTAAATTCTCCCGATGTCAGTTCAGATATGTTTAAGTTCAGTACACTAGTTGATGTTCGGCTATAGCAAGCATATATAGCCTAATAAACTTTTTAGGATCTGCAATAGAAGGTGTTCTCTACGGTAGCCCCAAATCAATGGAACTTGATTATTACATATGCATGGACGTTCGGGAAACGGTCGAGGACCATCAGCGGTCGTTGACATGACGCCAGTGAGTCGTGCACTGCAAAGCAAACGATTAGTAAAAACCAAGAAGCGATTGCGTAAAGGCTGAATAACGATAGCCGAACGTGTGCAACGCTCGGAAAGTTAGTAAAACGTCCCATAAATGTTCTTCAGCGTCTGGAAATTAAACGTTGCAAAACACTGGTCTGGGTGAGAACTTTTGTGCATGTTCAAAACTTTTTTCCGGACCAGCGTTCTCTGCAGATTCCAGGCGATTACTGACGTTCACTGGCGTTCACACAACGTTCTTCTGACGCTATCCCAGCAACCATGAACGGCTTGTAACGTTCATCAAACGGCATAGGAAGCTGACCATAACGGCATTGTGTGACGGCCCCTTTACACGATGGGCGCGTAAACGAATAAAGCAAGACTCTTTTTAACCGTAAACTATGGAATGCCGGTAGTGACATGCCACTTTGGTTATTTTCCAACTACTGAATTGCTTATTTGCTAATTGCTGATTTGCCAATTTGCTTATTTGCTAATTGCTTATATACATATACATAAATTTGTATGCTATTGTCAGGCGACATGTCCGACTCGCGGAGTTCTTGTTTGATATGACATAACAAGTCTTTGTAGACTTTATTTCAAGCTCTCGAACCTAGACAATGTATCATGTTATTATGTTTGTAAAGTTTTGTTAATTATAACTTGTGATTATTTTGATCAATCCATCATTACCTAGAATATAGGTAGAAAGACAGATGGATATTTTTTATTCAATTTCGAAAAACATAAATTCAGTTTCAAAAAGTAGTTTTTTTTTTTAATTATCTTGAGTTTCAGTTTTAGCTCCACTATTCAGAGAATAGGGATGCTATTCTACCCACCAAGGCATTGCTTTTCTTGGTAACTTGTTTTTCTGTCATATCTATGTTACTTTTTCTGATTCATGCATCTTACTGCAACTTTGCATAAACATTGCGTAGCATGCAATACAAAGAACATGAAGAAGCTGGGGCCGTTATATACTGAATGTCAAGGTCACCAATGTAATGTACTTTGGTTATTTTTAACGAAGCCTTTGTTTTTCTGTCATATCTCTGTTAATATTGCTTATATCTAACTGTAACTTCACACAAGCATTAGGCAGCATGCATACAAAGTATACAAAGAGGCTTTGTCCATTATACCCTGGGTGCTGATCATGCTCATGGTCACCTGATGGCATGTAAAATGTTCAAAATGAAGAAATGGAAAAGTGTGACAAAATTTCAAAAAACATTGAATCAAAGCGAAACGTTGATGGACACACAGACATAAGTGATCTCAAAATCTTACAGAGCTAAATACGAAGCCTATTGCTTAAGTGCAAAGACAAGTGCTTAAGCTGCACAAACAGATCTATAGCTGCAAACACATTATTAGGCATTCTCAAGCACAGACACTTTGGGGTCAGATCCTGTCCCCAACATGATACGACTCTGTAAACACTATATCAAAAATATTTTAATATTTAAATACGAATTGGACATCCGTTACAACTATAAAGCCATTAAGTACTTTATTGAGACTTGGTGGAATATGGTATTTTTTCATACCGGTATATGTAAAAATTGTTTGAAAACCAGTTTTATCAATGTCCAATTCGTGTTTAAATATTAGAATATTTTTGATAGAGTGTTTACATGGGGTACACGTTGGGGTACGGGATCTGATCACCAAGCGTCTGTGTTCGCAAGGTAATGTCAGCCATCAGTTGTAGACATATATCTATGTATGCATCACTGCAACTAAATTCATTGACCAACAGTATTCTTGGAAAACCACTGAATTTACAAAAATACTGTTGGTAAAAGTGAACAGATCTGACTCAACTGGTTGTCTGTAGTCAGATTTGCCATACACTTTCAGCACAGTGTAAACTATTTCTATTGCAAAAAAGCAAATCAGCAATTGGCAAATAAGCAAATACTTAAATCAGCGGTTAACAAATAAACAAATCAGCAATTCAGCAATTGGCAAATAAGCAGTTTGTCATTAAGCGAATCAGCAATTGGCAAATAAGCAAATAGGCATTAGCAAATAATCGATTCAGAAATTAGCAATTTGGCATGTTGGCATGTCCCTACCGGCATTCCATAGTAAACCGTTCTTATTCTAATTATGTGATAAATAATATTATATTATTGTAGATTAAATTTATTGAACTCGTTGAATAAAACAATATTATGCTCGCCAGAAGCTTGCATATTATTATTTAATTCAAATCGTTCAATTTAGTATTACATCAACATATATATAGATATATTCTATGTATTAAATGCATATGATTAGTAAACAGATAATGAAAAGAAAGAAGATTTTGAAAAAAAAAATCTGATTTTCTTTTTAGTCATTTTGGTCAATACGCCTTATTATGGTTACAAATGATTATTTACTATGGCTTGTATAATGCGAAAATAATATATTACACACTTAAATACAAGTGAAAACTTTATAAACCCATGGCAATGTAACATAAGGCTTTATGTGACATTAATCCATGTCCATCACAAACTTTAATAGGTCATTGTAATAATTTTGATTTAAGCAAATAAAACATTGCGAAATTGAAAACGGCCACACTATTAATAACGGTGCAAAAAATAATATCTTCATTATACAGTGTCGTTCAATTTGAAAACTCATATGGTTTTATTTGTTGCTTAAACGTTTTAAGCATATCAGCCTATGGGAAGGTTGTATGGCACTAACGGAACTCCATATTCTTCTAATTTTGTCATTGGGTTATATTTATATTTGCACATCAGCAAATTTATCATAATCAGCTCATGCAAATATGAAATAAATAATATCAATTTAAAACGTTTGCATATGTGTGAACTTACATGTTTATAACAGTAGCTATTCGGTAAAAATAGCTTAGATCTCTTACACAGCACAATATTTATATATATATTTTAACCTTTGTACATTTATATTGCAAAGGCTTATTAGAAATATTGCAAAAACTTTCAATAGACATGCAAGTTTATTAAAAAAGAACACCCACAACAACAACAAAACCAGTACCACGCAACTTGTTTATCAGTACATTGCCAAAAATTTATTTAGTTTTCACATACTTCTAGCATTGATTATATTGATGTATTACAAAGATTAAAAGATTAGATATCAACAGATAGACCTTATTCTTTACAAGCATACTGGTAGCGCTGTCTCATTACATAAGAAAATTGAATATAAAAAGGGTTTCCAAACTTGAGACATAAATATCATCATATAAAAAATACACAACAGAATTAGAGAATTTATTTCACATAAAATGCTATAATTCTCATGGCAAACAAATTATATTCAGTTTACACTTAAATTACATTATATACTATGATGTTACAACTTATTACTAACATTACTCACTTAATGGTTTGGGAAGTACCCAAAACAAATTTTCAGTAATTTTTTCGAGATATTGACTTTTTTTGTATTAGTTTCGCACCCTTATCTCAAAATCTGTTTTTATGAATTCGCTTGGTTCCCTTAAATTTTTATTGAAAAAAAAATAATTGTTTATTGAGATCAAAATAAGGGGAAGATACTGAGTAGTTTGGCCATATAAAAAAAAAAATAAAATAAATAACGTAAATATAAATAAATAATAAAAAATAAAGATATGCGGTATCTTCAGTTTATTTTAAAAAATGACGAAACCATTATGTAAAGCTATGACATGCTTCGATAAATTCATTCAAGGTCACCGTCAAATTTCTCTTCCTTGTTATGAGCGGACTAACCACACTTCAACATTCTCGAAGATTCACTGCTTGTAAGTTAGTTTTAAATATTTTACATGATTTCTAAACAGAAAGGAAAGAATGGGTCTTTGTTAAAGTTCTCAAATTTTATTCTTTAAAAGATATGTCACTGCTCAGAGTTTTGAAATAAAGTATTCTAAATTGATTGCTGTAAAACTTTCAAACTTTATCTTAACGATAAATTTCGATTTAAATATTGGTTATCAATAGTTTGAAAATATCAAATATTTCAATGTAAAATAATGATAATAAAAACATAAGCTTAACAGGGTTTAAAGGGGTATTTGTTTTGATTTTTTGTTGTTGTGGGTGGTTGTTATTTGTTTTGTTGTTGTTCTTGTCTTTTATTGTTGTTGTTGTTTTCAGTTGAAAGTCAAAACGTATATAAAAATAATGTCAAGGGTTAGAAAAACAGACGACACTCTCGTAGAACTAGCAAGGATCGAGGTCAATGAACACCCAGAAAGAAGAAAACTAGACATAGAAACACTCAGAAACAAAATTCAGTTGCACCCAGGTTGGTTTATGTATTGATTTAAAATAATATATATATATACATTTGTATTTAAAATAAGTTATTTCAATTAAAAACCTTTCATTCGACTATAACAGTTGAACGAAAGTTGCCATGGTTCTATACAGGCGGCAAAAAAATCTTATATAGTTCAAATTGTATGGCTATTGATGTGTTCTTAACATGTTAATACATTTATACATTTAGCAATTCAAAGGCTAAGATGATTATATGATTAACATATGTACTTTGATTAAGATAAAAAAGTCATATTCATACTCCCAGATGATCATGTTTCAATTGACTTTAAATGATGTCATCATAGTAACTTAAGCATGAATCATTCTTGGTCGCTGCAAGTCAACATTGTCTTGTTTCTATCATTTGTTATTACCATAAATATGAAGCTGAACAAACAGATACACTTTAAGAATGATCATACTTATCAAGTAAAAAAGCTACACACCTGATGCCTTTAGTAAACTCAGTTATTGCTTCATAAAAAATATGTAGAAATATGTCTTGTAGAGCGAATGGTGCATTATTTCTTTCAATAACGTACTATAGGATGATTTACTGTTTAAGAATGATTATAAAAATATTGCACTAGATATAACTTTAAACCTTTACAAAAGAAAGTATATCAAACTCGTTTTATAACAGTTTCTCGAATTATCTATCAGGTTCACTAATTGTACTTGAATTTTAAAATTTATTGGATAAGTAATACTGCATAATCACGCTAAGGATTTAAATAAACATCATGTCTATATCACTATTGTAAATTACATAAACACTTGACATCTGACTTCATTTAGAAGACGTTTTAAATTAAGCAGTTTTTTTAAAATAAATCCATAGACGACATGTCAATTTCATTGAGACTGATCATGAAATCCTTCTATATTCCTTGCGAAAGTCTAGACACTGTTTTCATACATGTCCTCCTTTAAGGTGTTTTAAGAAGAAAGATATATTCAGCTTCCTCCGAATTTAAAGCACTCTTAAATAATCTCATTCTGATGCTTCTGTTCAACCTCACAAATGTAACTATAGGGTAATCGTACTTTCTAAAGCCTTATATTTTTGCTGGGATACATGTAGATACTAATGTCTTCTGAAAATATGTAGGCTCACAGACTTTGGCATTTGGAAAGGGAGGGCTGAACCTTTGAAGAAAGTAATAAAGTGCGCTCAGTCCATCGAACCAACACTGTATTTCACAAATGATAATTATCGATATACATTTTCCAAACACGTTGTTTACTTTGAAAAACATAACACAAAATGTAACTAGAACTATCACTGAATGCGATTCATACCCCCACCAATGTCCTTGACAGAATATTTTCTAAGCCTAAAAGGGGCATAACTTGTGTCATAATTCAATGGAATTGTTTAATTTTCGTCATCTGAGCTTGCTTATAACCATTCATATAAATTTAAAGTTTCAAGTAAATATATGTTCTGGTTTAAGAAATATTATAGTAAATAAATTTAAAGACATAAAAATGGACTTAACTTTGTCAAAATACAATACAAAGTTATCCCCCCACTTTTTTAGTTATGAAACTTGACCTGCATATATTACTTGCAACACTTCGTATAAGTTTCAAATGATTATCTGTTCTAGTTTTAGAAATATTCAAGTACATGTTAAAATTTCAGAACATTTTCGATGTCAATTTTTGACCTTCAAGTGTGGCCTTGACATTAAGCTGGCACAAGGGTAAGATGGGTTCTGCACATTGCCCAGTTGGGATGAACATTTGAGTCAAGTTTGAAGAAAATCCTTCCATTAATATAGAATTTATAGAGCGGACACAATATTGTCTATTATTGATTGTATGCAAATTTAAAAACTTAAAAAGGGGCATAACTTTGTCGAAATGCAAAACAGAGTTATGAAACTTGACCTGCATATCTTACTTGTGACACCTCATATAACTTTTAAGTTTCAAGCAAATATCTGTGATAGTTTCAGAAATATTCAAGTACATGTTAAAATTTAAGAACATTTTCTAAGTCAATTTTTGACCTTCAATTGTGACCTTGACCTTAAGCCGGCACAAAGGTAACATGGGTTCTGCACATAACATTGTTGAGGTGAACATTTGAGTAAAGTTTGAAGAAAATTCTTCCATAAGTACAGGATTTATAAAGCGGACACGACATATTGTCTAATATTTGATTGTATGTAAATTTGAAGACTTAAAAAGGGGCATAACTTTGTCAAAATGCAATACAGAGTTATGAATCTTGACCTGCATATCTTAATTGTGACACTTCATATACATTTTCAAGTTTCAAGCAAATGTCTTTTCTAGTTTCAGAAATATTCAAATACATGTTAAAATTTTAGAATATTTTCTAAGTAAATTTTTGACATTCAAGTGTGACCTTTCCCTTAAGCCGGCAAAAGGGCAACATAGGTTCTGCACATCCCAGTGATGAGGTGAACATTTGAGCCAAGATTGAAGAAAATATTTCAATTAGTGTAGGACTTACAGAGCGGACACGACATACTGTCTAATGTTTGATTGTTTGATATTTGACCTTCAATTGTGACCTTGACCTTGAGCTGACACATGGGCAACATGATTTCTGCACATCCCCTTGTTGAGGTGAACATTTGAGCCAAGTTTGAAGAAAATCTTTCAATTGGTGTAGGACTTACAGAGCGGACACGACATACCGTCTAATATTCGATTGTTTGACATTTGACCTTCAATTGTGACCTCGACCTTGAGCTGACACATGGGCAACATAGGTTCTGCACATCTCCATGTTGAGGTGAACATTTGAGCCAAGTTTGAATAAAATATTTCAATTGGTATAGGATTTACAGAGCAAACACGATAATGGAGACGGACGGACGGACAGACGGACGCGACAAAGCGAATCTATTATATCCCCCCCCCCTCCCCAACATTTTGTGGTGGGAGTATAATAATCATGCACATAAGAAGTTCAGTACACATTATTAAGTCATACGATCCAATAGAAGAATGCATTTATGACTTTAATTGTGTTTGATTTTCAAAGTGATAAATGATATAAATATTGACGCTTACAGGTGTAATTTATAACCATTGTTTACAAAATAAAACGTTGATATGACTCAGAATTATATAAGGATAAAGGTGGCAACGCTGGTATCTCTGAAATTATCATCTAGTTTCATGTTTATATATGAACATATGGTTTTATTTATCGTTTGTTGATACTTGATATGAGAAACGTACGGGGAAAGAAGCATTTAATTTATAGAATACATATTCACCTTTTCTTTAACTATCATTTCAAAAAGCAGCATAACTCTGAGATCCACGTTTAACTTTGATTTATCTCCCTTGGATTTAGAGTTGAGCTATATAATTTTTTGTAATTAGCTCTATTTTAGCCAAATTATTTAAGATTGTTCTTCCTTTGAAACTATATCACTGCCTTATGACAGATCTGGTGTATTGTCTCGTCGATTCTGCGAATCGTTTTGTTGCTTTACGTTTTAAGCATATCAGCCTATGCGAATGTTGTATGGCACTCACGGAACTCAATATTCATCTAATTTTGTCATTGGGTTATATTTATATTTGCACATCAGTAAATTCATCATTATCAGCTCATGCAAATATTAAATAAGTAATATCAATTTAAAACGTTTGCATAAGTGTGAACTTACATGTTTCTTACAGTGGCTATTCGGTAAAAATAGCTTAGATCTCTTACACAGCACAATATCTATATATATTTTTAGCTTTTGTACATTTACATTGCAAAGGCATATTAGAAATATTGCAAAAACTTTCAATAGGCATGCAAGTTTATTAAAAAAAACACCACCAACAACAACAAACCGGTACCATGCAACTTTTTTATCAGTACATTGCCAACAATTTATTTAGTTTTTGCAACCGTTTTCACATATTTCTCGCATTGATTATATTGATGTATTACAAAGATTAAAATATTAGATATCAACAGATAGACCTTATTCTTTACAAGCATACTGGTACCACTGTCTCATTACATAAGAAAATAAATTGAAAATAAAAAGGGTTTCCAAACTTGAAACAAAAATATTATCATATAAAATACACAACAGAATTCACATAAAATGCTACAATTCTCATGACAAACAAATTATAGAAAACAACCAATTATATTCAGTATACACTTAAATTACATTATATACTATTATTTTACAGCTTATATTTAAGATAACATCACTTGATATGGTTTGAAAGTATCTCTAAACACAAATTCAGTATATTTTTCTTTGTTCAGCTATAGTTGTACATTGTATATTGTATTATATTTCGCAAAAGACTATCGCTATTGTAAATTACGTAAACACTTGACATCTGACTACATTTAGAAGACTGTTTAAATTAAGCAGTATTTTAAAAATAAATCCATTGACGACAGGGCAATTTCATTGAGACTGATCATGAAATCCTTTTTTATTCCTTTCGAAAGTGAAGACACTGTCCTTCTTAAATGTTCTCCTTAAAGGTGTTTTTTTTTATAGAAATACATATCCAGCTTCCGAATTTAAAGCACACTTAAATAAGCTCATTCTAATGTCACAAATGTTACTATAGGGTAATCGTACTTTCTAAAGCCTTATCTTTTTTGCTGGGATACATGTAGATACTAATGTCTTCTGAAAATATGTAGGCTCACAGACTTTGGCATTTGGAAAGGGAGGGCTGAACCTTTGAAGAAAGTAATAAAGTGCGCTCAGTCCATCGAACCAACACTGTATTTCACAAATGATAATTATCGATATACATTTTCCAAACACGCTGTTTACTTTGAAAAACATAACACAAAATGTAATAATCATGCACATAAGAAGTTCAGTACACATTATGAAGTCATACGATCCAATAGAAGAATGCATTTATGACTTTTATTGTGTTTGATTTTCAAAGTGATAAATGATATAAATATTGACGCTAACAGGTGTAATTTATAACCATTGTTTACAAAATAAAACGTTGATATGACTCATGTTTATAGAGGGATAAAGGTGCAACGCTGGTATTTCTGAAAACAGGACATTAATTTATCATCTAGTTTCAGGTTTATTTATAAACATATGGTTTTATTTATCTTTTGTTGAAATGTTCAAGGGAGAGTAGCATTCTTGGTTATCATTTCAAAAAGCAGCATAACTCTGCGGTTCATGTATAACTTTGTGTTTTGACTTATCTCCCTTGTCCCGTTTGGGAAAAAATGCTCTAGACGTAGCATGAATCTTTCCTAGAAATTAAAGCACTCCATTTAGTCAAATTTGGTCGTTAAATTAAATTTTTGAATTAAAATATTCGTTATATTTTATTGGATTTCGTACATATATTAGCAGATATAAGTAACAAACTGAATTTTATGAAATAATATGCTTGTTGTCGAACATCCTATTAGTATGTTATTATATGTTAATGAACTTGATTCCGTGTCATTTTTTCAGAGTTGAAAATCCAAACAGATGACGCGTATCTCCTACGCTTTTTAAGAGCCTCCTGCTTTGACCACGAGGATGCATTTACTCTTATTCATAAATATTTCGAGATGAAAGCAGACGAGAGGAACAAACAACTGTTCAGCAATATGCGACCGAGTGCCATTAAGCACGTGCTTGAAGCAGGTGTAACAGGAGAATATTATCATCGTGATAAACTTGGCAGAAGAGTAATAGTTATAAGACCAGGTCAGACAAATTTACTAAAATGAATGCCTTCATTACGTTCAGTTTTTGTTGTCTTTGCTTGTATTTTATCGCCTAGAAAGTTAAGCAGTTGATCTAATGGATAAAAAGTGATGAATGAGGAAACAGGTTTGCAATGATGGAATTGTGTTTTGCGTTCATCTTGTCGTAATGAGTGTCCTTCGGTATATGACTATAAGTTATAAGTGAATGTAACTTGCGCTCAACTCAAACAAAGACATTTTCAGATTTAATTGTATATTCAATAAATAAGAAATGTATTCTTTACTAATATCGTTGTTTGTTAAAAGATGTCATTTGTTATTAAACTTACTTGAACATGTACACGAAACTATCATTGACATTAACCTTATCAACATATATGTATCAATATGTATGGTGAAGTTATGTCAGGTTGCTTAGAAACACGTTTAGAAGACCACAAATGCCTCATATTTGCGCTTTATAGTATATATAAACGAGTATTCCAGTAGAAACACCATTCTTGTTTGTAGCTATCGAGTAAGTGTTTTTTCTATATAAATGATTATATGATAAATATGTATATCTCATGATAAAGCGGTTTATTTTAATTGCTTTGATCGATATTATTTATTTCAGGGGAAATGGGGATACCAGTAAATTTTCAATTACAGACATTTTCAAAACTAACTTCATTGACACTCTTCAAGTTCGTTGAGGTTAGAAATAATACACTAAAAGAATTAATTAAGATAAGAAAAGTTATAATTACAACGATTGAAAAAGAATCAGATAAGAAAAACTATTGTATACCTATAGAAATAACCAATAAGAAACGTTTTAATACATTTTCTGTTATAGAAAGAATCACATTTTTTAAAGAAATTTTCTAATACATTTTATAGAAAGAACCAGATAAAAAAAAGTTTTAATACATCCACATTAAAATGTACTGTATAAAAAAATCACATATTATAAAGAAATGTTTTTAATACATTTATAGAAATAACCAGATAAAAATGTTTTAATACATCTACTGTATAGAAATGATTAACATATTATAAAGAAATTTTTTAATACATTTATAAAAAAGAACCAGATTATGAAAGTTTTGATACACCATTAGAAGAAGCGAAGATAAGAAATATCTTTTTTTTATTATTTTTGATACAAAGCATCCAGGATGTTGCATAAAAAAAAAACAGAAATGCAGGCGATCTGCTTTATTTTTCGAAAAAAAAATTAATTAATAGAATAAATTAAATAGTTCGCATAAAATGCTATTGTTTGTGTAACTTGTTTGTTTGTGTTTGATTTCCATATACTAACATTTTTTATTTTATCCTTTTATAATAATGAGAATAATTTTTACCTTTAGGAAAGAAGAGACGCAGATAAAAGGTGTTGTCGCGCTGTTTGACATGAAATGGTGTAGGATTTGGTCAGATGACTCATCTTTCTCCATTCTTTGCAAAACGTATCACGGCTTTATTACAAGTATGTATGGAATATTTCACATGTTCATGAACGAACATTAACCAAGAATCTAATTTGTTTTTACAATATTCTGTTACGTTAAAGTCAGGAAACGTTATATGAGTTAAAAACTAGGATATGTGACATAATCTTAACAATGGCAACTACTTTTGTTTGTTTTGGGTTAACAGTACATTTACAAATTACTGGCCATACCGCGCCGAAGTTTACAATGCAACACTCGAGCCACAAAGTATTTTACTATTTGATGAATTTCTCATTTTTAGCGCATTATTTTGATAGCCAAATATGTTCCAATCACGACACTGATTTAAAATGAGTATTTTTTCATTATTAAAAAGAGATATTTCTTGAATGACCTATCACTAAGAACAGTATTGGAATAACTCAGAACGCAAACTTTTAAGCCAGACGATGACAAGTTGTTTTTTTCCTTTTCGAGAACATCAGATTTTATCTTTATATTAGAATATGTACAGTAAATATTTAATTGACTATTTTCAGGAGAGTTTTCCAATGAGATTGAAAGCTATGCCACTTCGGTTTTAACGAGCCTGCCAGTTTTTGATTATTTATTTGCTATTCTCAAACAGTTTATGAGCAAAGAAACGATTGATAAGGTTAGTGATGTAGTTTGTCCTTTTAAATTTAGATGACATTTTCTTAAAAACTACCCTTGAATAAATAAGCAGATTTTTATACATTTTTAACAATATTGGTATCTTAAAACACATATAAATAATTTTTATAAATAAAAAAAACGCTTTTGGAAAAATATTATATTCTATTGTTGTTGTTGGTGGTTTTATTTTTCAAGTAGTAAAAAAAACTGATAAGGATATCGATTTATAATAATATTTCATATATATTAGAGATACAATCTTTTTAATTTTAGATAAAGGTACATGGACACAACCTGGAAGAATTAGCTGAATATTTTGATGTAGAACTTTTACCAGAGGAATACGGAGGAAAGGCCAAAAAGTACTCCAATGAGGGTATTTACCACGGTGACTGTAAATTATATAATAATAGTATTGTACTTACTAATATTATGATACATTATTTCGTATAGTGTTTAAAATGCTACTTGTTTTTGGTGTTGATTTGGTTGTTTTATTCATTATTTGAAAAACTTTGATGAACTAATAGCCTCTTAGCTTTTAAAATTATTTTTGATATTAAGTTTTGTAATTATGAAAATCTTTCTTTTATTTTACGTACGATTGTCTTTAATCTCCTTTATATTAAATCATGTGTTGATATTCAGCTCTTGATATAACGAAATTACTGGGTCAATTTACCTTTACAAGCGATGGATGAAGACTCTTTTGGCTTGTTGACGCAGAGTTTTTTGATGCTGAAGCACGAAATAGCCCTTGTTAAGGTTCCCTGCAAAGATGCCACAGGAACATACAGGAAAATAGAATTCTTAGATCGTTACTTAGCTTATGAACTATACCTTAAAATTCAATTAACTATTATAAAGAACATTTTCTTCAAAAGAACATTTGATTTACGTTATCTTTAGTGCGTATTTTTGTCAAAGGTATTGTGTATCTTTCGTTTAAAATCATGTAGTTAAGCAAGTTTTTTCTACTTAATAGACTCTGAAAAAATGGGGTTTTCAAGCTTATCCGGGGTAAGAAAGAAACGTTTTCAATTTCGAAAATCGGAATAATTTAATGAAGTTGACTTATTTATTGTGAATGGTCGTGCATTGTGAAGCTTTGAACAAAAAGACCGGTAAAGGGACATTTCAACTTCAATGAACTCTCGATTTATCTTCGTGAATTCATCGATTTCAACTTGCAATGAATTTATAATTTCAACCTCTTGAATTTCACGATTTCAACTTCACGAATTTAAACTAAGCGGAATTTACGTTTTTGAAACATATTATATTCAAAAGTAAAATATGTCTCTTTTAATAAAGACAGACTATATATTTAAGAAAACTTTTTAGCTAACATCTTAAACTTATTATATTCTTACATAAGATTCATATTTTACCCAAGGTGAATTATGTTAAAAGGGAGTTAAGGTAATTTTTACATTTAAAACTTTCCAGTTCTAAAATTTATTCATCATTTATTATATTCATATTCGGATTCGAGAATGTTTCAAATAAGCTAAATATAGCTTCCAACACAATCGAGCTAAAATAAATTTGTATAAACATTACACAAGCGTCAGCCTCGATTTTAATTTTTAAAGCGATCCTTTTTGTAAATACAAGCATGATCGTTAAAATTGAAAATCGCGAATAATTTTTCGTGCTTTTCTCAAATGTTACAGATGTTCAGAGATGATTGTTAAGGGATAACCTAAATAAAATTTAGTTAATATAAAACATGAAAAATTAATATGTTATTGTTTTTCTTTAGTTTTACTTAAAATACCATAGAAAAGATTCTAAAGAACATAGAATACCATAGAACCGCAAACAATATTAAGGTATTAAAATATTGTTTGAAGCATGGTTTAGCTTGGAAAACATGCATTTTTGCCGAGATTAGGATAACATCTTTTTTAAAAAATTATTGATATGTTATGTTTTTTTTAAAACAAAATAAATAACATGTTGACGTGTTGTACTTCTCCATGTATCTATTATTTTTGATGTTATATTTTAAGTTAGGTTTTTGGCGTAAAAAT